ATACAGCTGTTTAGTTTGTAGTCCTAGAACCCAGAAGAGAATTAACGTTTTCCAGTCATGGTTTTGATCCTAAACCTAACTGTCTGAAATGTCAGTTTTGGATTTATGAGTAAATTAAACTCTGTGGCTAGCATTACTTTAAGGGAGTTTTATCTTTTGTTTGTTAATTTCATACACTTATCCAAATTTTGAAGCTGTTGTTTTTTTTCACATTGGCCTACTTTTTTTTTTTTTTTACACATACGTTTTTCACACTAGTTCCCAAATAAGTTCAACAAGTACCACAAGAATGGGAGTTGACCAATCAGACAACAATTAGCAAATAGCAAAGAAAAATACCATGCCAGCATCTACAACTGAATTATAATTGTGTGCAGTTCAAACAAAAAGCACTAAAATGTTAGAAACTGAAATACAGTGGTGAAGAATTAGCCTTCCGGGGTTGGCCTACAAATTGACGGCTCTGATAAAGGATTGGTGTAATGTAGCATTTGACCCTTCGCAAAGACCCGCCCCCCTTTCTTTACTGTTGCTATGTCCGACAAGCCATGGCGCTCTCACACCGCACATAAAACAAGTATAAAACAAAGTCTCAGCTTTAAAATGTAGTTTTTTAAGAAATTCCAACAATAAATACAGTTTTGTGGCTCTTTAATATGTCACTGTAGCGCCTCAGTTAAAAGCGCCAAATTAATCGATCATCTCTTCCTCTTTACTAGTTATAGCATGAAATAAACATTAAAACATCTAGTTCAGCCGCAGAAAGACAATAGGTTCAAGCATAAGTTAAAGTCCACCGATGTTAAGCTACTCTTCTGTCTGGTTTGTTTGTTAGACCAAAATGGCAGATCCGGCGTTATGATTGGCCAGATCGCCTGTCAATCAAACTCCCTGTGAAGGGTCAATTGATCCGTACAGCTAGCGTTGTTAAATTCATCGCGGCGTTCAGCGCAGAAACTCAGTGCGTTCCAAACGGGATATATCACCCTCCAAAAGGCACTTTGGAGTGAAAACAATCATGGCTGCCATATTAAAGGGTCGTTCCAAACTAAAGTGCTCAAAATTGGCCACTTCAAAGAGCCCTTCGCAATGAAGGATTTCGAATGGTACAACTGATGGACACTTCGGGCCCCCATGATTCTTTGCGCTGATTCTTTCCATGATGACGTCGCCTCCATATGGGCACGGGATGATGACACAGAAGGCACTTCAAGTCCCCTACACCCTTCAAAGCTCTCACTCCAGAGGGTAGACCCTTTGAAGGGATTAGGGCATAGGGATATGGAATGCAGGGACTCTTTCATGAGATTTGAATTCTCCACTTTAATACAACCTCATGCATAATACAGTGCAGTGATTGGATCATAGGACTTCATTCTCATGAATAATACTGAGAAATACTTAGAAAATTGATGACGTAGACGCGTACTCTCCAGACACTCCAACCAATCACCACTCCAAATTAACGCATATACGTCACTTTTCGTGACTTTGGTTCAACTTTGCTTTTTTAACCAGAAGAATGAAATAGCTCCAAAAAATTAGTGCTATTATTGTTTTCACTGATGTGCAACCTGTACATATGTTAACGTCTCAAAAAATTTGTTTTAGGGTTTCATGACCTTATTAAAGGGGTCATATGATGCGACTTAAATTTTTCCTTTCTCTTTGGAGTGTTACAAGCTCTTGGTGCATAAAGAAGATCTGTAAAGTTGCAAAGACTAAAGTCTCAAATCCAAAGAGATATTCTTTATAAAAGTTAAGATTCAGCCACGCCTACCTAAAACGGCTCATTCTAACACGCCCCCACATGTCTACGTCACGATGTGGGAAGATTTACAATAATGTATAGTATGTGGAAAATAATGTGTTTTTGTAACCTTAAACCGCATAAACACATTTCATTACACCAAATACACAAAATAATGTTCTTTTTAGCAGCATCATATGACCCCTTTAAGGTATTTTGTCTGAAGATGTAGTCTGAAGTTTCCATTGTATGGTCTTTCAAGATTTTCTTGCCCTCATGTCTTTATTCAGCCTACTCAAGGATATAGAACACAATTAGCTGTTTCTGTCTGAAACCCACCCGCACATCCCGTTGCATGGACAGAAACGCACTCACTTGCAGGCACTGTTTCACTACTTGCGTCTGGACCTTTTACATAGGGCCTACGTCATCTGAAGATCATGCGTAGCTGATGGAAAATGGCAGCATTTTCCCCCTCGCTTGCGTTAGTCAGCCTAAGACAACGGTTCAGTCAGCAGTGCCCGTTACTTCAACACTGGACCTGTTTTGAGTGGCACGAGGCCAGTTTCTGAGAGCGAAATCTGAATATAACTGTTCAAATGAATGCATCCCCACCCAGTCTGTCTAACTAGTGCCTGAGCCCACGAATCTGTATTTAGCAACATACAAACTCTGAAATTACAGTTTACACCCCTGAGTTGAACAGCGACTTTGTGGTGTGGAATGTGTGGCCTATTTATTGTAGGCCTTAAATTTAATGAGCTAATGTCATACTGACAAGGGAAGCTATAGGATCATGTTATGAGCCGGTTACATATGCAGTCTAAACACTGAATTTAGATCAAAAAGGATAGGCACTGTATACGTGCGTAAAACGCAATGATTCTAGATCTATAAACACTTTTGGATTTGTTATATATCTAAACATGTTTATATTGTTACATAAAAACACCTCTTGTTCAGCCATATTCTTTAACAATAACCTGAGAATAAAAGGCCTTAGAGTTTACTGTATCATTACATTTTAAAGGAACGGTATCATAGGCTACCAAATGGTTTAAAGGGTTAGTTCACCCAAAAATGAAAATCCTATCATGAGAATTACCAACATTGTTTAATACCTTTTTTCTCTCTCTCTCTCCCAGTGGTTACCAACAACTATTTGGTTACCAATATTCTTCAAAATATCTTTTGTGCTTAATCAAAAGAAACTCATACAAGTTCGGAACAACTTGAAGTTGAATAAATGATGACAGAAGCTTAAAGGTCACATATTTTACACCTTTCTGGAGTTTTATTTTAAGTCTTGATGTCCTTAAAGCAGCACTATGTAACTTTTTCTGTGTTCAAAATTTGCAAAATGTATATAATGAGCGAATACATCATGAATTCATCTTCCAAACCGTGTTTTTGTCTTATTCCGAATCACTATGGTACACTTATAATAAGTACTTATATTTGGACTATTGTAGCCTGGTCGGGTCGTCACCGCTGCGGAGTAACACATACCTGCGTGAATCGCCAGAGACATAAACTTAGAGAAGTAGCTCCGGTTGGAATGTTCTTCCACGGGATGTGTGCAGTTCTGTTTATTAACCGCTAGAGCGCCAAAAGTTACATAGTGCTGCTTTAAGAATATATATTTGCGGTATAAGTACCAAAAACCATCTCAATATATTTTTACAGCTCCTCTCTCAGGAGCTCTGCTGAGAACAGGTCGATTTTGGCCTGTCTAATTAATATTCATGAGCCTCTCTTCTGATTGGCCTGCTGTTTTCTGAGTGACGCACGGCCAGGCCATGTATGCTGTAGCCTGCTGTGGATTGGTGATACTCACAAGTAAGGTCAATAGAAACACCGGTAATGATGGTCATTGCTGAGGGAAATGTTGTCCGTACATGTTTGAGCCGAACTCAGACCCCGAATCGGCGACGACAGGAGACAACCAACCACCTCCTCAAACGCGCTTACAACAGGATGTTTCAGAATGGTAATTCATGTTTTTTTTTTTTTTTTAAACCGAATGCAGTAAATACAAGCCTGACCAGCCGAGCGTTTGCAATCACGTGAACTTGAAGACACTTGTACAAATGCGGATGGGTGACATGAATGAAAATCATTCCAGATTGGCGATGTAGTATTTGGTTTCTGTATTCTGTACTGTATTTTCCTGCGCTCAAACCTGCCAATCTATAGGATCAAACGCCGTGTATGGCCTTTGAGGTAATTTGTGAATTAGCACAGACTTATAGTCTAAATAAAACAATTTGCAACTGTTACTATTATTACACTTGTATACAAAACTTTGTATTATGCTTGTTACAGAGTGACGCGGTTGTCACGGCGACCGTCACAGCCCTACTGTGCAATGATGTAGTTTCAGATCCAGACTGTACAGCGTTTTCTTGACATGTTTCCGTGTTGTTGTTGCTCAGCAATGGTATGGACGCGATGTTGTCTGGGGGTTTGGCAAAAGGAGAGTGGGACGGTGGGCGGTGCTCGGGGTGGGGACTGCAGGCGGTGACTGTGTAGTTCTGACGTCAACTTTTTATGGAAGTCACAACGGTTCGTGAAAAATCACAGCTACTTTATGCAGGCTGTTTGCATTTTACTGTGGACTGACTGTTTTGAAACATATGGTAGTTACATAGCACCTAGACCTCAGTTATCATGAAAAAAGTCAGGAAATTTTAGTTTTGACAATACGGGACCTTTAATTTTTGGGTGAACAACTTCTTAAAGTTAATGTAAACGTAAAAATAATCAACTTCCGTTATCTTAATAAATGTTGGCCAGCTGACTTACATTTGTAAGACTTGAACTCTATAAAAACGTGTTGTTTGTTCAAGGTTATTCAGCTTTTATATTAATAATAGTCGAATATAGGCCTACGTTATCTTTGAATGATTCAGGAAAGTAGCCACGGAATGCGTGAGGGAGAAATAGTTTAGTCACTTCATCAGCAAGTTAATATAAAACACCATAATGAACGTCATGCTACTAGTTAAAATGAAAGTAACTGTAAAACCAGCAGTCATGAGTCAACCTTTAAATATATTCTGCAAAATAATCATCCAAACGATGACGTGCGTATATGTCTAATAATAAGCGCCTAACGCATTTTAATCTGCTGTTTTAAAATGAAAGGTTAAAATGTTTCTTTACCATATGGCCAGTGGTGAGAGAAGATACTATTGAGTGGTGATGACGGAACTGCGTTATCACATCAGAAACCTGCAGATGGCGCTGTTTTTAGCAGTTTCTAAGTGCCGCCTGAGGGTCAGAGCAACATAAACACATCCCTTCCGTATTTTCATTTAATAATATATATTCCACGTTGACAAACACTCCGAGGATGGATTTCACGATCCGGGCCGCCACGCTCGAGGACTGTAAGGACATCTCGCGGATGATACTGGTGAGTGGACGATTTTAGAATCTTATGAAACATTGAAACACAGATCTGCTGTGTCACAGAGAAGCATGCGTAATCTTTCATTATCTTCCAAACTGCTGTTTTTTTAACGTGTAACGCACGTAATTGCATCAGTGTTGTTGATGGCAGAGTTACAGTAAGCCATATTCATTTGGCACACTGTAATCTGACACTTTCCTGGCATTGAGCCTAGTGGACGGCGTTTGGAATGCTGGGAAACGTGCAGCAGCCTTCAGCTTTACTGTCATAATAATGAAGATGAAAGAATCCGAAAATCAGAGCGTAGCGTGACCGCTAGATTACGCAGGCCATTGTCACGTCATGAATTAGATGTACGTAATTACTAAAACCTCGTTAGTTATTGGTGAGCGCGACAATGGAAAGAAATTAAAAATTAGACACTTTGCTGATGTCAGAATAGTGAAAACAAACATCTATGACACAATTTAATATAATTCAAAAGACACTTTAATGGATGATACATTAAAGGGGTCATATGACGCGATTTCAATTTTTCCTTTCTCTTTGGAGTGTCACAAGCTCTTGGTGCATAAAGAAGACCTGTAAAGTTGCAAAGACTAAAGTCTCAAATCCAAAGAGATATTCTTTATAAAAGTTCAGAGTCAGCCACACCTACCTAAAACGGCTCTTTCTAACACGCCCCCACATATCTACGTCACGATGTCGGAAGATTTGCATAACGCCGCCCAAATGTTCACGCAAAGAAGACTGTTTCCTGATCCTGGTAGAGTAGACTACAATGCCCGTTTTTTGACAAATAATGCTGACTCAGAGCCTGTAAGTATGTTTTCATATTTAAAGAATTTGCCACTGACGATTCAAACGCGAGTTTTGAGCAGTGTAGAGTAGCGCTTGTTTGTCATTTCTCCGATCACAAATGCAGACATGGTTTTATGTTTACGCGGCGCGATGCAACGCAATGTGTAAAAACACAGTACTAGTCATTATAATCAGTAATTATGTCCCCACTGGATGCAACAAATGCCTCGTTTATAATGGGTTTTAATGTTTTTG